ACAAACACTGCAGCTGCAGTACTAGGATGTATGACCTACACTGTGTAGGAGTCCACAGAACAATATACGAACTGCTCTTGCAGTGTAACCAGATCTGAATGATCTACAGTTTTGCAACTTCAATACAGTTTCTCAACCAAGAGAAAAAAAAAACTCAGTAGAAACAGCAATACAAGTGGTGGCGCACCACACTTAGTCGGCTGATATCCACTTTCCATGACAGCCAAACAGCCACTTAGGGTCTAGGGTTCAACCATAGTCCCTTGGAGAGTTGAATAGAACAACATACACTCGGAGGAAGGGGAACAGTCCCTACACAGATTTTGGGACATTAACAGTCGCGCAAGAAGAGAGCCATAAACAGGAAAAGAAAAAAAAAAGTTTCAGTCCCTATGTCACCCGAACTGTGAATAGGTAGAACAGTCATGGATTCAAACTTCTCTTCAGGACAGAACCTTCCTTCGAACATCTGGGATGGATTTCCATAGACTTCTTAGCCGAGCAACACCAGCTACCAGCACTTAAGGCTGGAAGTTGAACAGTCAGTAGCAGAACCCCTTTTTTCTACGCCAGGAAGTTGAACAGTCAGCTTTCATGTAGCAGAACCCAACTCGACAGTGGAGACAATCCCCAGTACTAGAGAATGCTTCCTCTCCTTGTCTTCGAGCATCAGGACTATAGCTTCTATGCAGCAGTGGAGAGAGACCTCAGTTGGTTGTTTTCCAGGCCTGGACAGTCCTGCTCTGATACCATGTTGAGCAGAAGGAGAAGGAGAAGAAGAAGGGAAGAAGAAGAAGAAGAAGAAGAAGAAGAAGAAGAAGAAGAGGCTACAGAGTTAAGGCCTCACAAAAATAGCTTCAGTCGAGTGAAGCTTTGCGTTTATACTATTCTGGCTGTACATAACAATATGTCTACAGAATTACAAAAATACCCCTGCGGGTACTAAGTCTGTGAACAGTACATATATTACACTTGTTAACATATTTAATTGCTAAAGTAGCTGTCATGAAAGTAAGATAAAAAGTTATTAAAAATAATACAAAATAAATAAATTAATGGAATGCCATTGCCCTTTAAAATAATCATTAATATCAGAAAAAGTAAATGTTTATTTTTTCAATTTTTAAAAAAGCATTAACAAAAAATAAAGGCAATAATTTATGAATTAGAAAAAAGATTCCATTTCCTAGATGCAGAAGAGGCCACTTGATACCATTACTTGCAAGGAGAGGGGGCCATGCCCCCATCCCTTTTGCTTTGATATATGTCATAGATTTATTTTTTAGATTTTAGTGATGTAAATACAAGAATAGTCTTAGTCTGGGAGCTTGGAGTTGCCTAGTATATTATGTTTGATGCCTTTGACATTTGTACTACAATTGCCAAATTGAATATGTTACCTTAGTAATAAGAAATATTTTTATATTGCAGCGAGATGAAGAGGACATGGTTGAATTTGTTAGGAATACTCCTTCTGAATTCAGAGAGTATTATATCCAAATGCAGGCAGCCAAGAGAAGCCAGGCTCCTCTTCCTTCACAGGTAAGGAGAAAAAGATCTTGAAATTGTTTTCTGATAAGCATGATAAAGATTCATGTTATCATGTGGATACTGTATTCTTCCATTGTTGTGCATCTCAATTACATGTGGATGTAGTGGCTTGGAAATTATTAATAAGTTGTTCCTAATTAGGAAAACTCACAGAAAGATGAGCCTATCACTATCATGCACTCGTGGATGCATGCTTATTAGGCCTGTTTATCCGATTCTGCTATTCGAAAAAATGTGTTGTGAAAATGGATTTTCTGAAAATTCTGTTCATTCTTGAATTTTTTGTTGACCAAGAAAATTTGTTCTTTTGAATGACATTTTTCTTAAAGGAACTCCTAGTATGGCAATACAATGTTGTTAAGTTTTAGGTGTGATTTTCAATTTTTCTGTTTAATTCTCAAATAAAATAGGAATTAAGTGAAATTTGTATTTTTGAAAGATTGGAGTTTAGAAATTGCTCAAAGTTATATTTTGTGATGCTTGATTTTTTATTGAAATTTGAAATATCTATTTGAACTATATACTTTTTGATGGGGGCTTATAAATTGGGTTTAAATGCCAAGGGCAAGCCTTGCATTTGTGCCATATGCATGGTAGGTGCTGCCAAGAATCAAGATGCCTGATCCTTACGTATTTCCTTTTGAATCTTTATTCTTTTTTGGCATGTCAAGGTGAATGATGACCGCATAATTCTAGACAAAACAGTGTCAGATCAAGTATCTATGTGGAAAAGCAGTCACGGCTTGACTGATGAAGTAGTTACTGACCATGCTTGTTCAGGGGAAACATGTTCTTACTACCAGATTGGAGATGTTTTCCTCTGTGAGAAAACTGGTCGAGTCCATGGTATGAGTTGTTCTTTATCATGAGTTTAGCTCACCAATCAATCCCTTGCTCATGGAATTTGGAGCTTACACATTTTTTCTTCTTAATTGCCTCTTCTGCAGTGTGTGACGATACATGCAGAGAAGTTGTTTTGGATGCTGACAGTGGGCTTCTGGTCTGTACAATTTCTGGGCACTGTTTTGATAGAATGCTCTCACCTTCAGAGATGGAACCAGACACTGTGAGTAAAATCTATATTGGTCTATGAATATTGCAATGTTTCTCTTAGTACTTCCCTTGTTTCAATGTCACTATAACTCACTTTGGGATTTGGGGCCTTGTGATAATAGCTGAAGTGGCTGAACTGAAAATCTTATTGCTTTGTCTTTCGGTGAAGAGGTTTTTAGGGAGGTTGTGCACTCCTTCATGGCTGAAGCCGAGGTTGGGTAGATTACTATACCCTTGAATATTTTATTGTTTAATTTCTTTATTATCTAATGAAAGACAGGGAATTGAGTCTTTCAGTTGAGCATCTTCAGCCATTATCAATGAGCCCCTTAATGTGTTCTTTTTTGGGTTGTTTCTTAAAATGACCTGCTTAGTTTGGTAGGTTCTTGTTTCCTTGTTTGCTACTCCAATCCCAGTCATCTTCATTTTATCTTGTAAAAGCTGTTGGGATTGTTGACCAGAAGGTATATTATATTCAATAATTCATAACAAAAGAAAGATTGAGGAGGATGCCCCTGCCCCCCATTCAGAAGGGGGACAAAGCTTGCTAATAGGGAGAAGAAATGAACTTAAAAGAAGGTCCAAGCCTAAAATTCATGCTTGCAAGCTCATACTCAAGACACCATGAGTGAAGCCAGAGCCCATGAACTTGGGTGCAGTCAAGAAGATTATTCAAACTCAAGTGGGGGCCTATTTTCTGAGTTGGAGATTCTCAATTGACTAAAAGCGGGGATGGCAGTACAAGATTATTTCATTCTTTGTTCCAATGTTATCTAAGTGTCGATTAGTCAATTGAGGGCCAAACTGACTGCATCACTAACTATTAGTTGATACTCATAACAGTCTCTTAGGACAACTAAGCATCAACTAGGTTAGTGAAAATTGACTAATTGGCTAACAACTAGTCAACTTAGTCACCACAAAATCATTTTAAAGCTTTATTTGTTTGCTTGTATATGTATGCATTTTCTTATATTCATGCTGTTGCTTTAAATATTTGTGATGGAATATTAAAACCATGAAATAAAAGAAGGCAGTAGAGGAGTTCTTTTAAGTATTCTTCCATTCAATAGTGTGTTGGTTTGGAGTTGCCATAAACAAAGGGCACATCTAATAGTTAAGGTTGCACTCTTCTTTAGAAAACAAAGGTTCTGATTCCCTATCCTAGACTATTCAACCTAATTTTCCTTTATTTGTGATAACTATAAGCTAAATGTTCAATATCATTCTTTCCTTGCATAAAGACCATAATAGAGAATTGCATGGCAAAGACAGCTCATTGGGTATTGATAAAGAAAAAAAGAATTTAAAAGTCAATTACTGGATGATATCCTAAAGGGATGGACTGCTGTGGCATGTTTTGAATCCCTCAATGTCAGACTCAAAGTGGTGGAAGGAATGCAAGAATGGGAGGCTCACAGCCAAGTCTCTATATAATGCTTTGGTTAGGAATTGGGTGGAGCCCAATTCAATCAAAGGTGTTTGGGGGAAGCCAGTTCCTCCAAGAGTGGAGGCATTTGCTTGTCTGGTATCAATGGGCGGAATTCTCACTCAAGACATGTTGAAAAAAAATGAGGATTTATTTTCCAAACAGATATGTTTTATGTATGTCTGTGGAGGAGAATATTCTTCATTTTCTGTTCTAGTGCAGCTTTGTGAGAGGAATTTGGGCTTATTTCTTCAAACTCTTCAAAGTGGTCGGATGGTTGCTGAATCTTTGGAAGGCCAAGAGCTCATGGGAATACTAAAGCCAAAAGAAACAAAAGATAATTGGCTGTTTGTTGGGAGGTATGAAACGAAAGAAACAAAAGAATATTTGAAGGGAGGATGAAAGCAATGAAGAATTAGGGGCGATAATCAGCTCAAAGATAATTGGCTGAGTTCTACTTCTAATCCTTAAAGAATTTGGAGGCCTCAGAAAAGAAGACTTTGGTTTTAAATTTTGGTGTACTTCGAGTGTTTGATCATTTATTGATAAAAAAATGTTTTATCATTTATTTTGGATTAGTGATCTTTGTTGTTTTCTCTTTTTGGGATCCAGTTTTGTATGCTGGGTGGTCACACCTTGTCACCTTAGAAGTTGTACTTTGTTCTATTTTTCAATAAATTTTCTTCTTTATTTTTCTTTGTAAAAACTTCCATTACCACCAGTTGGATTCCTCTTGAGATGGGGAGATTAAAATTAAATTGTGAGGGATGCCATCCCTGGAAACCCAGGGCCATCAGGAATAGGGGATGCAGTGAGAGATCACAATGGCAACATCCTTATGAGCGCTTCACAAGACTGATTGGGGTTGGTAATTCTTTGAGATCTGAGATCCATGCACTTCTTCAATGTCTGAAAATAGTCTATTCACTGAGTTGGTCAAACCTGATTGTTGAAGGGGATTGCAGAGTGGTGATATGTTGGATGGAAAATTCAAAATGAAGGCCCTTCAGCACACCATCAGGAGATTAGGGAAGCCTTTTGTTATCCGATTTGAATTGCTTGTTCAAGTGGCTTCCTCAGTTAGCCGATACTTTAGCTGATACTCTTGTAAGAGATGGAGTAACCAAGAACCATATTTTTTGGAGAATACCAAGGCCGAGACATGTTGTATTTCCAGTATAGTGGTCCATATGTTGTTTCTTTCTTGTCAACTTTAAGCTGTTTGTACTGTCTACTCTCCATCCTGTCATATACCGAAAAGTTTCCGTTTTTAATTAATACAATTCAAGGTTAATGATAAAAAATCATTCTTTCCTTGCATAATTGTAGTCTATATTAACTTATTTATGATGGCATGAATATCTTAAATTTAGAATGTATCTTTTTTATTGACTAGGCAGCACCTAGGCACCGACTAGTCATTGAAATGACCAGAGAGGCCAAAACAACTACTCATCGCTTTACAACATTGATAAAACTGCTTTGGCCAATTGCAGGAGGCAAAAGAATCACATAAGGAGATTGGTAGATGGTGGGAGAAAGAATCTAGATCAAGAGGAAATTGGAAATATTTTTATTGAACATTTTAAAGGATTATTTGCACCATCATGGTGTAGGAAACCAATCTTTGAGGGGCTGGCTTGGGAGTTAAAGTGTGGATGAAGAAGTTGGAAGAACCATTCGCTTAAATAGAGATTAAAAGGACAGTTTTGGGAATGAGTAACCTGGATGACTTGATGAAGGTTTTCCATGAATTATTGATCAAAAAAAAAAAAGGTTTTCCATGAATTCCATGACAGGGGAAGGGTGGGAAAAGGAATGAATGCTAGTTTTATCACCCTAATACTGAAGAATCCAAATGCAGAAGCCCATGTGGTTTTAGGCCAATCTACCTCACCATAGTGTATACAAGATTATTACAAAAGTGTTGGTGTTGAGATTGAGAGAAGTGTGGTACTTTGGCCTCTGGAGAGCAAGGGGCCATTGTCAAGAATTTCCAAATCTTGAATCAAATACTAATTGTGTTAAATCTGTGGAAGCCATCCTTATTCTAAACATTTTAAACCAAGTTGTATTGGTTCCAGCTAGTGAGAATGGGCAAGTGTGGTCTCCTAACCCTTGTACCTTTTCTTGTTCTATTTTTAAAGCCCTTCACTAAGTCTCTCTCTCTCTCTCTCTCTCTATCTCTCTGAACTGTAAGGTGAAGTATTTCATTAATAACCAGTCCAATTCAACATCTTCCATCGGAGAGATTTATGGAGGGGACCCTCTCCAAAAATTAAAGGTGTTTTGTTGTGATGCTGCCCTTCAAATCTGGGGCTGTAAACAGGTTGGATTGCATAAGATGTTTATATTCGGATTTGACATTTAAATCAAACTGAGAATGCAATTGGATATTGAATAGCATTAATGAATTAAACTCAAAGTGATCAAGATATTACTGATAAAATAAAGTGATCAAGATATTATATATAACTTCAATATTGTATATAATGAACAAACGAGTTGATAATAACTTGTTTGAAACTTGAACCTATGACTCTTTACTATAAAACAAAATTCAAATCAGATTTACTAATGATTATAATATAAAATTCAAGTATATATATATATATATATATATATACATATATATATACATTTATAATTAAATCAAATAAAATCAGCTTATATTGGGTCAGATTGGGGTATTATCCAATTTCAGTCCAATTACAGATTGAATTTGTAACACCCTTAACCAGATCCACTTCGAATTCGAATTCTGACTATTGGATACTGTTTGCAGCCCTAATCAAATTATTAACACATTTGATAGGCTTCAAAGAAAGCAAAAGGTCTGATGCATACTATATCCCCATTTGCGTGATATGTTCCTTGCCTAAAGAGTGGACTGTGAGAAACCAAGAAAAAACAAGTCACCTATTTCTATCTTATCCTTATTCTTCTCGGATTTGGAATCGCTTCCTGTCTTTGGATATCTTAGATAGCCCCACCAAATATTTTGGAGCTGTTTGGCATGTATCCCTTTGAATCTCATCCAAAAAGAATGAAGGTGTTATTGGCACTTCACTAGAAATGCTATCATTTGGAGCATTTGGGGTGAGAGAAATGCAAGATTATTTGAGGACAAAGAGCAGAGCCCACAGAACCTGATCCAACATTTAAAGGTGAAATCAGCACATTGAGTACTGCCTAGTAATAAATATAAGCGGGTAGCAATGAATGATTCAATGAGAGGGTCACAAATCATAGCTGAAGACTCAAGGAATAGTAAAGAAAAAAAAGGTGGATTCCTCTTGGTGATGTTAGGTTAGAACATAACCTTGATGGGGGCAGCATTGGTAACTTGGGAGCTTCTGGTATTGGGGGAGTGATTAGGAATGAAAAAGGTAATATAAGGCTTAGCTGCTTTGAACCTATGGAAATTAGTATTTCCTTAAGAGCTGAATTGATGCATCTCAAGGAGTGCTAATAAGGTAGGTTGTGGTCTAGATTAGTCAGGGTTACCAAGACATGGTTTAATCTGGGGTATCCACCTTTTTGGGACTTGGGAATGTAATGTAAAGCTTTTTCATTGCTTAAAAACAGTGAAGATTTGTTGGCCTACAGCTGTGTTGTATTGCCATTGCTGGCCATCTCTTGGACAACTTGATTTCTTATGAAAATGAATGAAATGCATTTTTAATTATAAAAAACAATTTTGATACAAAAATATAAGAAAAAACAAATGAAATGTACTTTGTTGACTTAATAAATAAATATTACGGTAAATTACAGATGCGCAGCCTATACTTAAGGGGTCAGTGTGGTGCTTAGCCCCCCAAGCTTTGTTTTGTGACAGACCACCCCCCCGAACTCTTAGACTACATTTTCTATCCTCTTTATGCTCCTCTCAACCCATCTCCTTACCCTTTTCTTTATTAATTTTATTAACCCTCCTAAATTCTGTTGAATTCCTGTTGGTTGTTAAGTTCCAGGCAAGACGTCAAACTAACAAGCTGAGTGCTTTGTGGCCTAATTCTAACTTGAACAAGTTCATTAGTCACCTCAATTAGCTACTGTTTGGGTTGGTTCAGCATAACTCATCCTTAATTTTAGTGGTATTGAGTTAAAGAATTTTCCAAGTAAAAAATACATGTATGATTTTGCCTTTTATGGTAATTGCAGGAATAAGAATTCAACAACATAAAAGATCTTTGCTTTATCTTTAGGAATCATCATCTCAACATGCTCTAGCTTTTTCTTGCTTTACTGTACAGATACATGGATGATGTATATAATCATATAAAGTTTTTAATTAATAAGTCCAATGTGATATATATATATATATAAATTTATTTTACAGGTATTAGTTAATAGTGATTAGCTTTTTCACTTTTTATCTTTTATTTTAGAAGTGGGCTTGGATAAATCCAAACTGATGGGATCTGATCCCAATCTGAGACCCCTAGATCTGATCGGATGTTGGATTGGATTTGGATCTAAGTTTTTAATAATCAGATTGGATTTGGATGAGGATGGATCTTACCCAATTACAGCCATATTGGTCCCAGCTATTTGGGTTCTTGGGATGGGTAGGCTGGATATGGACCTAACCTCAGCATTTTTATTTATTTATTTATTTTCACAAAATGGCTGCTCCCAACTATTTGGGCTTTTGGTAGGGGTATAAAAAGACTTTTTCTTATAGTGGAGGAAAATTCACTAAAATAAAAGAAAGGAGAAATACAAGTAAAGAGAAATCACCAGAGAAAACAGAACCAGCAACACTAGCCACTTCATATGAAAGAAAACAAACTCTTTACAAAACCAAAGCCCAACAGAAATAGCCTTACAAGCCCACCTAAAGGGTAGGCACCCTACCCTTCATAAAGATAAAACAAACACCCTGAACCTTACAATAGTCTAACAGAATAGATACACAGCTCTGACCCAACAACCACACCCCTATCCACCCTAACATTAACCACAATATGATAGCAAATGCCTATGGCACTATGCTCGTCAAGCCCCCTGAAAAATATCAACTCCTATCCCTCCCTGACTATCCATCTCGTTTACATTGTAATGCTCCTAATAATCCAAATTTGTGGTTTCAAAAGGACATGAGTTGACCAAAAATTAGAATCATCCAAAAAGTTTTGAAATTGTTTCTGGATAATGTACTGGAGAAAACATATTCCATGGATCACCCAACCCCAAATTTCAAACATTTTGCTCCTATTGCTATTGAATATTGGATAGAATGTGCTGGGGGCATGGACTTTTAGACAGCAAATGAGGGAGATTTATTGTTTAGCAAGGAAAGCAGGAGTAATCTTTATTTGGACAAGGAGGTCAGCAACAGTGTGGCTGATACTTTGGCAAAACAGGGAACTCAAAGGGAAAATTTTTTTTGGACTGTACTGTAAATTTTGGGAGAAAATATGGGGTCAACACTCATGCTGTGAGTGATTGGCAGTGTACTCCTTTACTAATTCAATGAAAGTTACTGTCCGTTGAGCCCTTTTTCGGATACTGCAGCTTTTTGTTTCAGTGGTAACTGTTTTTCGAATGTGTTTCTTGCATCGTGTGGTAACTGTTTCTTGGATATTGCAGCTTCTGGTAGATGTGATTTTTTTAGCTTTTTTCCGAACTTTTTGTTTCAGTGCATTGTAAATATCCTGTGTTGGATCATAGCATTCTTCTGTTATTGCACAAAGAACAATCTAGTTTCACTTAATTGGGATGAAGATTCTGAAGTAAAAAGGACTTGACATAATCATCTTGCATTACTGGATTAAATCTGATGGTTTTATACAAAATTTTAGGAACAACAACAAGGTGGTGTAACAGATGAAGCAGAACCATTTATGGGATCTGGCCGATTTGGTAAAGACTCAGTCCCCTTACTTTATTCATGCATCATTGTATTTTATCTATTTACTTTTTTAGATCTTTTCACTACATGCCTTTTGGGAAGATAAAATCATAGAGGTTAACCAAGGCCCCAATCTGCTATCAAAAACAAAAATTATGAGAACTCTAAAACTTCAGGCCATCCAATTAGGGGTGAGCATTAATTTGGTTAACCGAAAAAACCAAATTAACCAAACTTTATTATCTTTAATATGTATATTAACATATAATACATATATATATATATATAGTGTTGAAATTTGGTTTTAACCAAAATAACTGAAAACTGAACCAGAAATTTCGGTTTTTCAATATTTTGGTTTATTTGGTTTGGTTTTTAACCGAATAAACTGTTTGCTCACCCCTACATCCACTAGTAATAATTAGATTAAAATCCAAGTCAATCTGGGAAGGCAATGGGATTTGATATCAAATAATTGATGTGGTGAATATAGATGACTAGACAAGGTTCATTTTCTTTTTCTCCTTCATGTGCTTCATATTTCCAGTATTTAAATCTTATTTATTGAACAAGTGAAATAAGTTATGTCACCAGATAAAGAGAAAAAGAAATAAGAGCTGTCCATGGTGTTTGTTAAGATTTAATCTATCATATTCATTGAATTATTAACAGCTATCAGGAACATCATTCTGAGCAAACCCTTACTATTACCTTAGCTTCAATACAAAGTGTTTTTGAAGGGCACAATAATCTGCTAAAAATCTGAGCTTGATGAATTTCACTGTACGAATCCATGTCTTTCCTAGTAGAACCATCTTCATTTTATGTCCAAGATTCTCTCTGTGGGTATCCTAAATCTTGACGATGTCAATTTCTCATCTTTCTTCATTTTGTGTGCTTTTCTGGCAGCGCGTGCTTATCTGTTGGGATATAATTGTGCTGATGAGAAGGAACTGGCAGCAGCATTGAGGTTTTGCTGATCTGGTATTGTGTGCTTCTCTTTGCATGGTAGAGATGAATTTTGATTGGCAGGATGAAAGACGGCATCAAATTTCTTTTGCCAATAAAGTTTTATAATTGCATCATATTTGGAACCATTTAGACATGCATGTGTGTAGCATATACTGTGTGAAGTAGGTTGAAGAATCAATTAATTTAAAAGGAAATCGGCTTCTTCAAACCTAGGATATGTATAGCAGTCAATATTTTTTGGAAGTTGCTCTGTGAGTATGGCTATGTTTGGGATTGAAGATTATAATACTCATCAGCTAATTTTCTCCATTCTTACCCGTCCACCTTCCCCTCCCCAAGAGGAATTGTGCTGAATAGAACCTCAATGGATTTCATACTCAGAAAAGAAAATAAGATCAACTGTTTCTAAAAAGGATACCATTTGATTGAAGATGTTGAGAGGTGTTTAGTGTGGATAAGATTATAAATTAATCAGTATGTGTTTTTTATTTATATCTCACAAATGTGGACCTAAAGTGTTTGCACATTGCAGGAATATTATTAGCTTGAATTGAAAATGGAAAGTCTAAATTCATCGCAGATGGACTTTTCCCACCATGTGAGCATTGCAGATGCAAGTTTATGGTCATTTATATTTATGATTTATGATAAAGGGTTAGAAATGACAAAACCCCCACTATAGTACCCCACCACCACTATACTACCCCTTTGTATTGTACCCCCAATTTCCCCGATGGAAATTTTTATTGGTTTTCTGAATGTATTGTCCCAAACCCCCACTATAGTACCCCTTTGTATTGTAATAGATTCCCCCACCTATCTCTGTTTCCGGTTATACAAACCTATAAAAATATATGAAGTGGAAGAATCTATAAACCCTCCCCCTTCCAAAAAAATCCTAATCACAACTCCCACACCATGTTCAGAATATAAGACGGGCTCCTATCCCCGCATAACATTCTTCTGTGGCACAAATATTTAAATTCACACCAAGAATTTCATCACAAAAAGAAAAATGGAGTAATGCTTTAATTGAAGAATTCCTTAGCATTAAGGGCCCGCTTGGTTTACAGTTGGAATTGGAATCATAGTCGGATTGGTCTATTCCTCCCATTTGTTTGGTTCAGATGAGAATTGGAATTAATTGGAATGGATTCTCATTCCCAAGGGAGGGGGAGGGAATAACCATTCCTTTGAATGGGGGAATGCCGTTCCATCATGAATGGAAATGGAATTAATTCTGCTCAACCAAACAGATGAAATCAGAATAGGCCATTTTGATTCCAAACCCCTATTCCTGTGAACCAAATAGATCCTAGAGAGAACTTTAAGAGGATGTTTGGAACCGTGGGCGTTTTTTTAATAAACATTGCCACTTAAGTGCCACTTCAGCATTTGGCTTGATAAACGTTTCTTGGACTTGATATGGGTGCTTGGTGTGATCGTTTATCAAGAAAACACCGATAAACGTTTCTTTGTGGATTTTCATGCAAGGAGTCACTCTCGCTTCCCCCAATGGCTACACATTTCGTGAAACGTGAAGCGGACATGGCACTAATGTGTAAGCTGATGTGGTGCTTGAGGGTCCCAATCTGGTGCATCACGGATCTATCATTTTGACAAAAAAACAACCTGCCACAAACCTTTACCATGACAAACCATGGAGAGAGCGATGGTTGCAGAGAGGATGACTTGCAGAGAAAGTGGTTCTCATGCTGACCGGAGGTTGTGAACGCCGGTAAGTTTGCTGTCAACACCGTCAAATCCCCCGCCTTGATTCTGGCAAGGTGTTTTATACTGACCACTCGGCCTTTATTAAAACATGATAACAACCATTAGATGAAAACATGCTCTTTAAATCATAAATTTAAGAACCTGCTTTTAGGTTTTAGTTTCAATTTTGAAAACAAAAAACACAAATACAATCAAGAACATTCTTTCTTTGTTTTTTATTTAAGAATCAGATTGCTTTTGAAGGAATTGTTTCTAGTAATACCCATCATGAAGCTAGCCAAAATGTGGCATTAATCAGAAGAAATATATTACTGGTGCAATTTGGTAGTTATTGAATTCATAAGCCATTGAACTTGAGAAGCAAATCAGGGTGGATCAATTTGAAGTTTATTTATAAGTTAGGAGAAACCAACAATTATGTGTAAGACAGAAGATGGATTGAAATGTTTGGGCCATGGGCTTGGGCTCCAATGCAGTCAACCACTTATCATTCAATACAATGGGATATTGGGATAGAAGATGATTGAACCAGAGACGAAGATGGGAGCCAATTCACAGTATTGGGAATGTAATATGTTTGTTTTGACTTCAACATTGGTTAGGATGTAAAGCTTTTTGTTTATTGACAAATTTACTTCAAGCGGTAATTCAGTAGACAATCTTGTTTGAGCATTCAGTAGACATCTTGGTGGTTGAGAAGCCTCATTTACGTGGGGTCATCATTGATTAATCCAAAAATTAGAAATACATCTTCACTAATCCTCTTTACAGCTTTGAAGCATATCATCTCTCAATAAACCTTTCATCACTTATATGTTTCAGTACTCTCGTTATTAGGGATGTCAATGGGTCGGGCATGGGTTTGCCTCAACCCTAACCCAACCCTATAGTGCCTCAACCCAAACTTGACACGACCCACCTTAAAATACATAATTTCCAAATCCAACCCAACCCTATAGGGCCTAACCTGATATTGACCTGACCTGACCCGTAGCATTTCAATTGTATTTTTAAACACGTTTTGAAGATCTAAAATCCATTAATTTAAGTTAGGAAATTGTTTTATAAATCTAAGATGTCGCTTTTCCATTTAAAAAAAAAAAGAATCAAAATCAACATGTAAATAATTCTTAAACTTTAAAGCTATAGAGGTAGAAGTCAAAAAGTTATAAAAATACTTTGTATATATGCAGGGTATCATGACCCGGTGGGGCGGATCAGTCAAAACCCGAACCCGACACTAAAGCTAAATATATTGACCCTAACCTGACCTTATAGGGTCGGGTCAAGCCAAATTTACCATTTAACCCAACCCATTGGCATCCCTACTCGTTATGAGTTAATAAAGCATGAACCCATGATTGTTAGGATTTGATTTCTTTATTAGGGAATGTTTGGTAGTTTGATTTTTATATTGTGTGGGGTTTTTGAATGCCAATTAGCAGGGAATTCAAATGTATCATTGAATATGAAGGAAAAAAAGAATGGAAATTGGGTTAAACGGAATACATTTTATATACATTATATATCCAAATAAGACCGTGCACCTTTTATGATAAAAGACCTATTAACCTTATACACCGCTTTGTCTTATACAATATAAATAAGTTATCACTAGCACAGTGGCACTTGTACCATGCTCACTTTTATTAATTAACAGGTTAGGCATGACATTATTCAATACTTCCTGGTCTAGCCCATGCTTTTGTAACACATTAACAGAAAAATGCTTATGACAATAAAAAGGATTCACATTAGACAAGCATTTGCTATCAAAAGCTGAAAATGTATATGGGCATAAAGAAAAGGGATTAATGACAAGATATGAATTTGGGAGTGCCAGAAGCAATGGTTCAATGATAGAATAAATTTAAGCAATGGTTCAATTAATAATGAATTTGATACTGTGGGTCAATGGAGAATAATTAGTACAAGAGGAATGCCAAAAATGCCTTAGATTGATGTGTAGTAATAAGTAAGTCAAAATGATTCTGAAACTTTTATTTGTTATTGGGATATACCCTAGATATGTTGGATGCACAAATGGTAGTTTGGACCATTGGATTGTTTCAATGGCACCCATACATCCCATATACTTGTCATTTTGACCGTTGGATGGGATTTTTCATCCAAAATCAATCGTTAGATCTCAAAATATACAAACAATGGTAGTTTGGACCATTGGATCGATTTAATGGCACCCAAATATCAAAGAAAGGTGTACCACACTGAATCGCCCACATGGCCATTTCTTGAAATGCCCTTCCAAACAGCAAAAGATGAGGAAACATTTATCTTTGTCGGGTTGGCAAGTGCCTTTAAACGTCGTTTCTTGAAACGCTCACAAAATGCCCAACCAAATAATGAACATAAAAAACGCTTGAAGTGGCATTTATCAGATAAACGTTTATCTCATAAACACCCCCCAACAAATTCCAATAAAATCAAATGCCACTTCAGCATTTCCCTCATTATGCGGATTCATACATATAGAGACTTGTAAAAGCAAGCAATGATTTGTGTGCACGCCTACTGTTTGGGGAAACTTAATTTTAGTGCTTCCACCAATAGGTAAGTATTTATTCATTATTTTGTTGATGTGGTGTCTAATGATGCCTAAGTGTCAATAAACTAATTCATTATTGCTTTTCTCGATTTTACAAACAAATCAGATATACACATTTAATAAATAAATACCCACGGTTCCAAATACATACCAAATCTCTCTCATAAGTAATGACACACTAAACTAATTAAAGGGGATAAGGAAAACCATAATACCCTCTCAATATATAATGGGTGTACTTCTGTCATGTTAGTTGGTATTCTTACTACAAGCTTCTATTTTGTCAAAAGATTACTGAACCCGTAAAGGCAGTAAAGAGGGTAACTTCTCAAATCACACACCATTCAAAAATTTTCAAACTATATTTCATATATTACATGTTTCGGACGTTGCAAATGCATTTGATCATACCAATGTTCTTTGAGCATTTGTAAATGTTATGTCGAATGCATGGCCAATTTAGAAAGTTAAATAGGTTCCACCAACATAAACGCGTTGGTATTGTATAGAAAATGCCCCTCGAATTTGATATTTATCCTTTCCATAAGAAGGAAAATTTAGGACGAGTGCAATTTGGGCGGGTCCAACCTAGAGCCCGAACTGATTCAGTCTGAAATTTTATATGGGATGGGTTTGGATTTTGGTTTTCGGATTGGGCTCAGGTCCAAGACATTGGGTGTTCCCTTAAGTAGCCGAACCTAGCCCCGAGTCCAACGTGACTTTATCCCAACCCAATCCCGGCCCAACTATACACATGTATTCATACATATATAAATATATATTTACATATATACACAAAGATTTGCATATCTATCTATCTATCTATCTATCTATCTATATATATATATATACATGTGTAGTTTTAGAGTAGATTCGTTGATCAACCCAAACCTAATTTGGGTTTGAGCCCAACCCAAGTGCATTGAATTATAGTGCGTGTTGGGCTCGGATTAGGAAGATTGGGCTTGATCTCGGGCTCAGGTCTTATGCCCAAACCTTAGGGTTGGGCCTGGGTTGACCATAAACCCAATCCAACCCACTTGACTTGCACCCCTAATGTAAAGCTTCTAGAAATAAGTAGGGGTGCTCACAGTTACCGAACCAGTAGTACCGGTTTTTGGAAAATTAATAACTAAAACTGAACCGAAACCTATCGGTTAACCGATTGACCAGTTTAGTTAATCGTTGGTTCGGCTCATCGGTTTTTTTATTTTTTACAATATATATTTATAATAATATATATAAATATATAATAAAAAATTATAAATAAATATATATATATAATATTATATTTTAAATAATAAATAATATATCATATATTATAAATATATATTTATATATATAATGCATATTTATTAATTTATAGTATATAAAAATATAAAATATATATAATATACATAAATATATATAAAATATATAGGAATATACGTATACCAGTCAGTTCAGTTAACCGTCGGTTTTCTGTATTGGTTAACTGAAACCGAACTGGTACCTTCAATTTTTTGAAAACACCAACCGAAACCAAACCGATCAGTTCGGTTAATCGATTTTTTTATTCGGTTTTAGTCGATTTTTTTGGTTGGTTCGGTTTTTCGGTTTTTTTGCTCACCCCTACAAATAAGTTAAAGGCTGTATGGGAACTAGGAAGCTATGAATATATGATTGAGCTGCATTGAGTTGGCTGTGTTGCAAAAGCTACTGCAACTAGTTTCAATGGAAAGTTGAGTTATTTCCTGAATGAAAGTGCCTCCAACTAGGGGTGAGCAAAAAAAACTGAAAAACCGAATCCATCGAAAAAACCGACTGAAACCAAATCGAAAAATCAGTTAACCGAATTGGTCGGTTCGGTTTTGATTCGATGTTTAAAAAAAACTGAAGGTACCGGTTCAATTTCGATTAACCAATATAGAAAACCAGCAATTAACTGAACTGACCAGTATACATATATTTCTATATATTTTATATATATTTATGTATATTATATATATATTTTATATTTTATATACTTTTCGGGTTTTCACCAAACATAGTTTCTAAATTTTTTGTGTGGGGGCCCACCTTGTAAAGCCATTAAGCCAGAAGCCGTTAGATGAAGGCTCTTCCAAACAGGCACTTAGAGCTCATTTGGAAGGACTTCTATGTTTGGGGTGTATTGTATTAATTGGGCTAAGGTGGTTGAGCATCAGAGTTTTCGAGAACTTCATATTTGAGCAGTGGTTTGGACGTTGACTTTTTGGATTTTTACCAAACACAGCTTTTGATTTTCTGTATGGGGCCCAGCTTGGAATGCCAGAAACTGCATCCCTAAAGCCCTTCCAAATGAGCACTTAGTTAACAATTGAGTCTTAAATATGGAAATTACCAAGCAATGTTGCTCAACTGATGTTTTATTAAGAAAATCCAAACGTGTTGTATCAGTAGTTGAATTTTTATTTTCTTCATGCGGCTATGCAACAGTGGGGTAGGGGTGTCAATTTGATTGGATTTAGATCAATCGGATCCAGTCCAATGTCAATCCATTACAAATGGATTAGGTCCAATCCAATTTAATAAATACTTTGGACCGTTTTGAATCAGTCCAATTCCATCTAATTTATTCATCAAATTTGTTTTAGTTTAGATTAATTCTAACCCAAGCCTGATTATTTGACACCTATATCCTCATCTTCTATCAATGGATCCGATATTGGCTCAATCCAACTCCCAATACAAATTCATTATGGATGGACCAGGTCCAGTCCAATCCAATAAATTCTTTGAACCATTAAGTCTGGACTGATCCAATTCAATATTTTGTTGGTCTATCCAATCCATCCAAATTGATTTTGATTTAGATGAGGTCCAATCCATAACCCCCAACCCTAGTAATAATAGGACTTAACCACAATTTTCTGCTACAACCAGTCACAAACCATACCAATCGAGCCAGGTATAATGGTTAAAATGAAATGAGTGTTTCTACTCGTTGTAATCAAGGTTCAAAGTATCCCAACGTATTGGTGCATACCATGCAATAACTATCAGTTTTTAGGGTCACCAATACGTGTCATACTTTAAACAGAGCTCATTTAATAATTTTAAAAGATAGCAATCCTGTTAACATACTCAAGTGCAAATTAAAAAACTGAAAAGTTCAAAAAAAAAAAAAAAAAGAAAAAGTGTATCGAGCTGATTGGATGCTCGATACTTAAGGTTGAAAGTCAAGCCTGGTTAAGTTGGATTGAGGTCAACCCTAACACAACCCCAACCCTAGTCTGACCTTAAAATTTCATGTTGGACTATGCATGTTAATTTAATATTAGGATTATTATGTGTAAAAGAACATGATTATATGTTTTAGAAAAAAAAAATGCCTTAAAACTTAAAATTTTTTACATACAACATACACGCATATATGTATAGAATGTATATATATATATATGGACCCATAGTTGCATATAGAAACATGCATGAATAGTGAATGCCCATTAACACATGTATTTACATTTATAAATGCATAATTATATTTTTACATGCAAATATGAAGTTAAGTTGGGTTCATACTTTTCAACAATAGCCCTAATCTAAATTTCAACCAAACCCTACTATTTTGGGCTAGCTTTGAGCTAACCTAGCCCAAGTTACAGCCCTATCGATACTCAATATCTCAATACTTTGAACCTTCATTGTAGTAGACAAACAATGTAATAGAGAAAAGAGCATTTTTCTTAAACACAACAGCTAGTGCATGTGTGACTTTGGATTGATCTAATCAGGTTATGCATGTATAAATGTTGGTTTTCAATTATGATTAATGGCCCTTCTTTAGGTTATTTTCACTCTTCTAGAGGGCTGAGGTAGGGAGATGTTCTCTCTCCTAACATTTATACTTGTTGAGGAAGTTCTAAGTAGAATCTTGTCTATTATTTTTAGTAATTGTCATATTCCCTATTTTGATCTCCTTGGAGGTTGCATTTAGGTTTTTCACAATCTCTATGCAAATGACACTATAAATTTTGGTAAATCTGAAAGAAGTCTTCAAAACCTAATGGCATCTCTTAAGGTTTATGAAAAAGCTTTTGGCCATTAGGTAAGTCAAGAAAAATCTTGCTTCATTGTGCATCCTAATATTACAGGGTTCACTGAAAAAAAAATGCCCTATTCACTTACTTGGGTGCACCAATTGGTATAAAGTGTTTGAAGTCCAGTGACTTTGATCCTATTGTGGGAAAAATTCAAAAAGGAATTGAAGATTGGAAAGCTCTATTCACTTACTTGCATCAGCTCTTTGCCATTTTTTATGGGGGTCTATTGAGTTTGGTAACAAAGCTCATTGGGTTGGATGGCAAAACATTTACAAGTTAATTAATGAAGGTGGTCTTGGTATCACTGAATGAGATTGTCCAATGCTTTTCCCCCCGGCATCAATTTAGGGGGGGGGGTGTAGAGAATCTATAGGCTGATCTATTATTGGGAGCACTCTTTCGTCTTGTGTCTTATGTATCATATACTTATTCTTTTATTATTTATTTCTTGCACTTGTAAGTGACACAATTGTCCTTTCATAACCTTTGTAACTCAGCAATATATAATACAACCTTTTTTAGATGTGTGGTTAGACTTAGACACACTCTTTTACTTGTTCTCTCTTTTAGAACTTGCCTCTAATAAGCTGATAAGAGCTAAAAGAGTACGCATTACAACATAGCCAATGGCTACTTGGGTAAGGCAATGTTTCTTTTTGGTATGAGAATTGGTTAGGGCTTGGTCCTTTAATTTTTGAGTTAGAAAGCAAAGATGTTCAAGATGTTTCCATGCATCAAATGTTGAATGTTGATTTTAGAGACATACCTCAAAACATAATTGATTTGCTTAAATAAGTGAAGATCTCTTTAAACAATGATGAAGACAAAGTGGTGTTGTTATGTGATTAGTAAGCAAGGTATCCGACTTGCTTCAAAGTGTTGCTGTTGTGGTTGGGAAAATCTCAATCATGTTTTTGTTAATGGATATTTGGTTAATAAATTATGTTAAGGTCCCTTTCATCAATGCTCAACATGTTCTGAATAGGATCAAATTATGATGGGGTCATGTAATTAGAGACTTGCAATCCCATCACTGTGCTAGAATTGTTCCCCTGGTTTTATTTTGAATTGTTTGGGAAGAGAGATGCAATCATAGAATGGAAGGTAAAGAAGTTGCATCATCAATTCTCATTAGAAGAGTTAATAAATGGATATAACCATAGGAACTTAAGAGTAGCTCTAATAGGCGATAAAATGAGAGAGAGTAGACTAAGATGATTTAGGCACGTGTATAGAAAACCAACAACTGTGATAGTTAGAAAAAGTGATTTGTTACACATTGAAGGAGTTAGAAGTGTTTGGGGTAGACCAAAAAAGGACATGGTAGAACTAGTAAAAAATGGTTTAAACACTAATAATTTAATAATGGATATAATTTTAAATAGAACAGATTTAAAAAAACAGGATTTATTTAACCAACCTCATATAATTGGGATAAGACATGGATGATGATGATGATATATAAATAGTCGTATGACCAACAATGTTGTATGGAGTAGATTGTTAAGTGGTAAAAAATACATCTAAAAAATGGGTGTGGGAGAAATGTAAACACTTGGATGGATAAAATGAGAAAAGAAACTGATTGAACTATGTATTTCATGGGTAAAATATGAATGAATAATGAAATATTTTATTGAAATAAAATGCAATATTAAAAAGTAATTGATTAGGCTCATAGTACAAATACAAACATGTACAGTGCAAATACATACAAAATAATACAGGTTTTTGTACTCTAGTTGAGACATTTTGACTCGGTCGAGTTTTCCGCATTGACTCGTCCATGTCTTATATTTACAAGTTGACTCTGCCGATTTCCAAGTTGACGAGAAATCTTATATTTACATGCTGTCTAGCTTCCAACCTGTCTATACTCTATGCGTGCTAAACTGCATTCCTAGTGGAATAAACGGGCTTACCAGGAGCCGGGGACGGGTGAGTGGGCGAGCTAATTACAGAACTGAAAAACTGGAAGAAGAAAAGGTCTGTACTTTTAGTGTTTGGGGATGATGGGCTGCTCTCTTCCTTTTCAAATTCACGCTGCAGCAGCTGCAGGTATTACATGTACCCCAAGAAGTGCTCTCTTCTCTTTGGCTCCTCGATGCCTCTTCCTCCTTAACCCCAGCACCACTGGCAGTGGTAGAAAGCAAAGTTCACCACATCATCATGAGTGTGGAACAACTTCTGGTGTGTCGGAGCTGAGCAGCCCCGAGCTCGTTGCTATGGAGTATGCCGACCTCAAGCTTAGTGAGAAAGTCGGCCAGGTGTTTGATGCTTCGCCTCTTTCTCTCTAGCGTGCGGGTTTTATTCTTGCCTTAGCATTTTGTTTCCTGTTACGAATTAGAAGTAAATGAATGTATGAATGATGAGTTGGTATATTTATTTGATGGATATGGGGGGTTGATGTAGGTGGGTCACGTTCGAATCCGGCAACATGTGAACCCTCTTAGCTCTTCTTTCTCGGTAAGCCTTCGCTGAACTAGAGGAATTGCTCGTTATCCGCTCTTTGTGAGTTTCTTCTCCAAGAACTTGATGTTCGGGTTTCACAGCTTCACAATGTGTTCGGAATTCTAAATCCTCAAAGAAAGAAGAATTGTGTTTGATGTTTTTTGTGTTTTTGTCCTTTACCGGTGTAACAGGTCCCTGCACAAGTGCCAAACTGGAATGAAGTCTTCAGAGACTCCACGCTGCCGCTCATGGTGGATATCGGCAGCGGTAATTACTACTTCTTTTGCCACTACTGCATCCTACTTGTTCCTTCTTTCTACTCATCCATAATATATAGTACGATCGTACTCTTTTTTTACCCCTTGATAGAGGATTCCCCAAGATAGAAGCATGTTTACGTAGTGTTAGTACATGATAATGATCTCTTACCCGGATTCAGTTCCTAATAACTTGTTTGATTGCCATCTAAACTGATTTCTTATTATTGTTTTCCTTTGCATTTTAGACCACAATCCACCATTCAAAATGGATCCGTACCCAATTGTTGACTTTTTAAGTGTACCCTTGTGCTAGTTGATATTTTTTGGATGTTCTTGAAAATGAACTCAGTTAGTGGTTTTATTGATTGGTGATGAGGATGTGGCTCAAACGCTGCAAAAAACCAAAATGAAATGATTTCTTTCCACATGGTGCCCAAACAGGATATAGATAATCGAAAACCAGTGCAAGCACAACTGAAATATGCTTGCAAATTTCCAAATCTGGCATTCTTATGACCCTTTTCTTATTCAGATACTAATGGCTACATATTGCTTACATAAAATCAAATCAGACTGTACATATTGTGATTGTGCAAATAAATTAGACAAAACTCTGTAGCACTGGATTATGTAGAGTTTTCTACAACAATGCACAAAGCACAACCTCTGGATACAATCAAGAGCGACAATAAGTTGGTTATGCCAAGGCCAAACTTTGGGTGGTTTTGGAACCAAACCAATACCTTTCTTGGTTGTTGTGTCAAAAACACCTACCTGAACTTGGAAAATTAGGTTTACCAGGAACCAGCCAGTTTCTTTAGTGAAATACTGGTTGATTGGGGTAGCTAGGGATTTTTTCCCTGCAAAGAGAGGTCTAAGACAAGGGGACCCTCTCTCTCACTTCCTTTTTACCTTAATAGTGGATGTTTTGAGTGTTATGATCTCTAGAGCTGACTCCAGAAATATTTTTATTGGGTGGAGAGTAGGGAGGCAAGAAGTAGTGGTTACTCATTTGCAATTTGTAGATGATATAATTCTCTTTTGTAAGGGAGAGACTAAGGAGATGATCAATCTGAAATTGTTGGTAGAAGGTTTTGAAAAGGTCTCTAATTTGAGAGTGAATTGGAATAAAAGTTGTGGCTGGGGTTAATAGATCAGATGAGGAGGTGTCTTCCTTGGCTAGGTTGTTAGGCTGTAAGTGGAGTGATTGGCCTATAAAGTACTTGGGTTTACCCTTGGGAGCAAACCCAAAGTTAGAAAGTTTCTGGTACCCAATCTTGGAAAGATTCACAAAGAAATTAGCAGGGTGGAAGAGGAATTACATCTCTTTAGGAGGTAGAATCACTTTAATTAAGTCAACTTTAGCAAATTTGCGAGTGTACTTCCTGTCTACCTTCAAAGTGCCTGTCAAGGTTGCAAATCAGTTGAAAAACGTAATGAGAGATTTCCTTTGGGAACCTGGGGAGTCAAAAAAGGATCACCTAGTGAAGTGGGAAGTGGTCTAGGACAAATGACAAAGGGGGTTTAGGGATTGGAAATATCTGTCTAAGAAACACAACACTCTTAGGTAAGTGGTTGTAGAGGTTTCCCAAGGAGCAAGAAAGTTTGTGGCATAAAGTGATGGAAAGCATACATGGATTGGCAGCTAATGGATGGGATGCTAGTCTCAACCCAAAAAGGTTTTCTCGTTCCTCTCCGTGGAAAGACATTATTGGTAATCTTGCTTGCATTTTCTCCTTTCATCAGGTATGATGCTTGTTCGGGTAATAAGGTCCTGTTTTGGGAGGATGTTTGGGTTGGGTACCAGCCTCTTAAGGATAGGCACCTGACCCGCTACTCCTTGTCCTTGAACAAATTCAAAGTCATCTCTACTTTTCGTGTTTCTGAAGAGTCGTGGGATTTAGGGATCAGGAGAGGGTTGAGGGAGTCAGAAATAGGGTTGGCAGATGATCTTTTCTCCCTTCTAAATTCAGTGTTTTTGGATCATTCTTGTCCTGATAATAGAATTTGGTCTGAAGAGTCCTCCAGTTGTTTTTCATGCTCTTCTTTCTTCAATGCTTCAGTGCACTCTTTTCCTATAAAAGAAGTGTGGAGTGCTCCTGTACCTCCAAAGGTGAGGGCTTTTTGTTGGGAAGTGGTTCTCCAAAAAATCAACACTTTGGACTTGCTTAAGAAAAAAAAGACCGAATTGGTTCTTATCCCCTCATGTTTGTAGCCTTTGTTTGAAGAGTGGTGAGATGGTAAATCATTTACTAATATCTTGTCCTTTTGTTACTTATTTGGGATTGGGTTTCCTTTCTCTTTGGGTGCAGGTGGGTTCCTCCTACAAGCGTGGTGGATCTATCTAGCTTTTTTCGTCAGTCAAAGAAAAGAGGAAGGGTAATGTGGAGAGCAACAAGGGCAGCAGTTGTTTGGGCAGTGTGGGAAGAGAGAAATAACAGAATCTTTCAAGGGAAAGAAAAATTAGCACATGAAGTCATAGAAGGGATCACCATTAAGGTCATACATTGGCTGAAATCACTGGATCTGTTCAAGGACTTCTCTATAGATGACTTAATTAGAGGGTGGAGTACAGTAGCAGCTTCTTCCTGCCCCTCTTTAGCTATCCAAGAGGACTGGTCGCCCCTATTATCTATGGCTGTTAAGTCAGACTTTGATGGCAATTCTGTAGGTAACCCAGGCCCCTCTGGAATTGGGGGTGTCTTTAGAGCTGGGGGAGGAAATGTCCTGGCCCTTTATTCTGGCCCGATAGGACTGGGGGACTCTCTTAGAGCAGAAGTTTTGGCACTCCTACAAAGGCTCAAGCTGGCTAAACAGCTGGGTTTTCAGCAGTTGGAAGTGGAGGGAGACTCGAAACTGGTAATAGGTTGGATGCAAACAAACAGCTTAGGCGCCTGGTCCCTTAGACAACCTGTAAGGGACATTATGCAACTAACAAGGGAGCTTGATGTCAGGTTTAAATGGAGTAGGAGATCAGCCAATGCAATGGCTGATACTTTAGCAAAGCAAGGAGTTAGTAGGCAGAACCTTTTTTGGGCCTGTTTGTAATTTGATGAGGGGTCACCTTGTTTTTTGAAGGTGACAGTTGTACTAAGTTTCTGAAAGAATTAATGAAAGTTACTGTTTCCAATAAAAAAAAAAACCGGTTGATTGGGGGTCCACATTAAACTCACCAAGAAAATCTCCAAATTCAACCTGTCCTGCTTATCAATTGAATCCTTTTACACCAATGCAGACTTGATAGAACCATGGCTGGATTCAACGCAGTTACCAGGGTGCCGGTTTCTGCACTTGGGCCTTGGCTAGTATGCAAGCCTAGATGCATACATAATCACTAGATTTTCTTATTTCTATGTTTTCAAACTGTCAAACAAACAAATAGAGTAAGAGAGAAACTCCTTGTGGTGGACTATTACCATCTATAGTATTTACTCAGAACCGGGGGGG